GAGCCGATTCCGGCTTCCGCGGCATTCGATGAGTTCGCGCGATGCTGCTGCTGCGGCGGCGGACTCGACGAGCGCTGCGTCGTCGGGGCTCAACTCGCCCGCGCTGACCATGGATCCGAAGCGTCGGCATCTGCAGACGTCGGCTGCCTCGTCGCCGGCGAGCGAGCAGTTTGCGGTCAACTCGTACGGCCCGCGCTCTGAGCAGGACCAGGCCTCGCGGTCGGCGTCGCAGCACAGCCTCTCGACCGAGGCGAGTGGGGCGACCAACGGTGGACTGGAACGCAGCGGCTCGAGTGCGAGCGCGCACGGAGCGACGGCGACGCCGTTGGTGGGAATCGAGATGGCACAAGACGTGAGCCATCTGTCGGGCAAGGAGATCGCCAAGCTGCAGCGGGAGGAGCGCAAGCGGGTGGAGCGCGAGGAGAAGCAGCGCAAGAAGGCGGAGAAGGCCGAGTACAAGCGACTGGCTGCCGAGGCGGTGTTTGGACCCAAGGGCAGTGCGGGGCCGTCGCCGGCGCTGTCGAGCAGCGACTTTGCCATGTACACGGCTGGCACGGCGGGCGAGGCGGGGGCGGTGTCGTCGAGGCGATCGTCGGAGCCGTCGGACTCGCACAGTGGCACGAGCACCGCCAGCCCGCGTACGGGCAGCAGTCTGCGTACTGCCTACAGCCCACGCTCGCCTGCCACCACCGCGCCCGCCAAGCGCGGAGAGTGGTCGGTGACGACGGCGAATACGGCCAGTCCGTGGTTCAGCGCTCCGCCGCCCTTGATGAGCGCACCCGGACTCAAGGGTATGCCGAGGGGAAACCGCAGCGCCAGCTCGCTGAGCGGACGCAGCTCGGCCAAGACCAGGCTCACGTCGTAGGCCATGTACCAATCCAAAGCCCGATCTGAACAAGTGGGTGGAAGGGTGTGAGATCCGAGCCGAGCGTTGGACGAGTGAGGTTGGAGCTGGGAATGCGGGGTGGGGAGCTGAGGCGGCGTGTGGGCTTTTGCATTGCCGTGCCGGGTTGGGAAGGGAAAGGCAAAGTGAGACATGCAAAAGAAAAAAAAAGTGGGCACGATGGCAGGAAGGGCACGTTCGTAAGGACGCGTGTTGACAGCGGAGGGGAGGGAACGTGGCATTGAGCCGACATGGCATGCGCCTGTCTCAGCGTGCACCCGGAGAGATTCGAGCGGCCTCTGCGGTTGTGTGCCACATGCAGTGGTACAGACATCGACTAGATGCAGATCCCCGACCGCTTCATACGGACCCGGCCCCCCTCCCTCTCTCGGTTTGAGGCTCAACATGCGGGGGACGGCACCTATGAAGTCGCAGCTGCTCTCGACAGCTGTTTTTTTCCTGAGGGTGTTAGGTTGAAGTAGGCAACCGCGCTTTTCTGGCACGGCTCAGCAGCTTCACGGCACAGCAGCACAGCAACACAGCAACACAGCTGCCGAGCAGCCGCTGGAAAGAGGCAGTCGGCCAGCAGTCGCCGCTCTCGTCGCTATCTCTCTGGCACACCTCCACCATCTTTTC